GGAGTTTCACTCGTTACCCAGGCTGGAGTGCAATGGCGTGATCTCGGCTCATTGCAACCTCTGCCTCCTGGGTTCAGGCAATTCTCCTGCCTCAACCTCAGTAGCTGGGATTACAGGCATGAGCCACCATGCCCAGCTAATGTTTTGTATTTTTAGTAGAGATGGGGTTTCACCACGTTGACCAGAATGGTCTCGATCTCTTGACCTCGTGATCCACCTGCCTCGGCCTCCCAAAGTGCTGGGATTACAGGCTTGAGCCACTGCGCCCGGCAACTTTTGTATTTTTAATAGAGATGAGGTTTCCCGGTATTGGCCAGGTTGGTCTCCAACTCCTGACCCCGTGATCTGCCCGCCTTGGCCTCTCAAAGTGTTGGGATTATAGGCATGAGTCACCGCGCCCAGCCCTGCCTATCAGTTTTATAAAGGATGCAAAACATTCCAGGCATGTGTATCCAACACCATTCTTGCCAAAGGAGTAGACTGTAGGAAAGTTATATAAAGAAATGAGAATAGTCCCATTTACAGTTCAGATTGAACGTCTCTGTGTGTCAGTTATTTTTCTAAACATTGGGGATATGAATATGAATTACCTTATTTTCATCTTCCTAAAAAATTTTTTTGTCTTCTGTGGAGAGAAACAGTTGAAAGTAAGTGTTAGCAATAGGTTTGTAGTCAGAGGAAGGAAATAATGGAAAACAAGTAGGGAGGAAAAACTTTGCTTTCATAAGCTGTAATGATGTCTTAAAATCTGCCCTTACTCAGTGTCTGTACTGTTTGTAAATCATTCCTTCCTTCCTTCAGGTTTTGCCCTAAACTGTTTCTAGATAATCTGTTCTGGGTCAGTTGTGATGAACTCACTATAGGGTTGACGAGATAGGCAAATGGGTTGGATTTCCTTATTTTTGTGTTGATGAAGGATTGTATATATTGTATAGCCAACCATCTAAATAAGTTACATGTTGTGTCTTTTTTTGTTAGGGACTTATCTTCGGAAGAGGAAAGATTTATGAAGCCTAAAGTAACAATGATAGCTTGGAATCAAAATGATAGCATTGTTGTCACAGCTGTGAATGATCATGTCCTCAAAGTGTGGAATTCCTACACTGGACAGTTGCTTCATAACTTACTGGTAGGTAGTTTCTGGTACAATATAACAAATGAGATTTTTTTGAACTATGTAATTTTGAAGCTATAAAAATAATATACTGAGCAAGCTGTTTTGTTCATTTAAACCATCAAATGATTAGAAATTTTATTATATATAAATTGTTGACAATATATCTTTAAAAGTCTTTATATGCTGTAACAGTATGTATTTTTAAATTTTCAATTTGTAACTTGTAAACCCTCCTTAATGTTATGACTTTGTTAAATAAAGGGACATGCTGATGAAGTATTTGTTTTGGAGACACATCCCTTTGATTCCAGAATTATGTTATCTGCAGGACACGATGGCAGCATATTTATATGGGATATTACAAAAGGTACCAAGATGAAACATTATTTTAATATGGTAAGTGAAGTGAGGTATACCTTTATAAATGCTTGAATGGAATATTTGGATTATAAGGCTTAGCCAGAAATTGATCTGCTTGTTTTGGCAGTTTCTGTTTTTACAAATCAGCATTTTCAAAGCCTACTAAATATTTCAAAGCCTACTGAATATAGCTGTATGCATGCACGCTCTGTCTCTCTCTCTCTCTGTCTCTCTCTCTGTCTCTCTCTCTCTCTCTCTCTCTCTATATATATATATATATATATGTAGCTGTGTGTATGCTATATATATATATCAGTCATACCAAGAATTTCATGTTTGATTTGATTACATACATAGATGAAATTCTTTGTATGACTGATTTATATGAGGGAGACTTTTTTGAGATGGAGTCTTGCTCTGTCGCCATGCTGGAGTGCAGTGGGGTGATCTCAGCTCAGTGTGACCTCTGCCTCCCGGGTTCAAGTGATTCTCCTGCCTCAGCCTCTGGAGTAGCTGGGATTACAGGCGTGCACCACCATACCCAGCTAATTTTTGTATTTTTAGTAGAGATGGGGTTTCACCAAGTTGGCCTTCCATCTCCTGATCTCGTGATCGCCCACCTCGGCCTCCCAGAGTGCTGGAATCACAGGCATGAGCTACCATGCCCAGCCTGAGGGAGACATTTTTAAGTTATCTGTTTAGCTTTTTGTGTGCCTGTGTGTTTAAATTGGTAAAATAATGGCAATTATAAAAACCTTTTCACTACTTGAATTTATTGAAATATTTGATAACAAATAGAAATGTAAAAATAGTGATATAATGAAATGACGTTATTAATACTCAGTATTCACCAAATATTACTAATATTTGGTTTCTGGATATTTAGTAACCCTCGGCTGAGTGTGGTGGCTCTGAACTCCCAACACTTTGGGAGGCTGAGGTGGGAGGATTGCTTGAGCACAGCAGCTTGAGACTAGCCTGGGCAACATAGTGAGACATTGTCTCAAAAAAAAAATTAAAAAAATCTCTAGATGATTGATCTGCTGATCAGCCTTTGATCAGCTGTTTTTCTTTTGGCATAGGTATATTCTTTAAAAAAAAAAAATTTTTTTTATGTGTATATTCTAGAACCAAATGGGGATCCTATTGTATCTTTTTAGAGTTTCTCCATATAGGCCAGGTACAGTGGCTCACGCTTGTAATCCTAGCACTTTAGGAGGCTGAGGTGGGCAGATTACGAAGTCAGAAGATGGAGACCATCCTGGCTAACATGGTGAAACCCCGTCTCTACTAAAAATACAAAAAATTAGCCGGGTGTGGTGGCACAGGCCTGTAGTCCCAGCTGCTTGGGAAGCTGAGGCAGGAGAATCGAGTGAACCCGGGAGGTGGATGTTGCAGTGAGCTGAGATAGCAACACTGCACTTCAGCCTCAGCGACAGAGTGAAACTCAACCAAGAATTTCTCCACATAATCATAATTATTGTTATTAATCAGCAAATCTAATACTGATAAAATAGTGTTACCTAATTAGGTATGTCCCAGTAACGTCTTTATAGCTATATTTTGCTCCGTGGACCAGAATCCTGTTCAAGCTCATGCATTGTATTTAAGTGATTGTATCTTTTTAGTTTTCTTTCACTGTCACCAGCCCCTCTCAACCTTTCTTCTTTTTCCTCTTTCTTGACTTTTAACTTTTGTTGAATATTAACAAGTACTGTTACAGAGTATCCTCAGTTTTGTCTGATGTTTTTTCATGATTAGATTGTTACACTTTTTAAAATGAAATAAAACATAAATGATACTGTGTCCTTTATGAATCGTATTAATAGGCACATGGTATTTATTTCTCCCCCTGTTAATGGTGATAACTTTTTTTCTGGAGATGGAGTTTCACTCTTGTTGCTCAGGCTGGAGTGCAGTCGTGCGATTTCAGCTCATTGCAACCTCCGCCTCCCAGGTTTAAGCGATTTTCCTGCCTCAGCCTCCTGAGTAGCTAGGATTACAGACATCCACCACCATGGCCAACTAATTTTTTGTACTTTTAATAGAGACAGCGTTTCACTATGTTGGCCAGGCTGGTTTCTAACTCCTGACTTCAGGTGATCCACCTGCTTTGGCCTACCAGAGTGCTGGAATTACCAGCATGAGCCACTGTGCCCAGCCATGGTGATAATTTTAAATATTTGGTTAAGGCAGTATTTCCCAGATTTCTTCACCATAAAATAAATCTTCTCTTTTTCTAGTAATAATTATTATTTTTGAGCTGGAGTTTCACTCTTGTGGCCGATGCTGAAGTGCAATGGTGTGATCTTGGCTCACTGCAACCTCCGCCTTCTGGTTCAGGCGATTCTCCTGCCTCAGCCTCCTGAGTAGCTGCCTGCCACCACTCCTGGCTAATTTTTTGTTGTTGTTGTTGGCTACCCAAATCAAAAGGACTGGCTAATTTTTTGTATTTTTAGTAGAGACGGGTTTCTACCATGTCGACCAGGCTGGTCTTGAACTCCTGACCTCAGGTGATCCACCTACCTCGGCCTCTCAATATAATTATTAAATTTTTTCCAGTAGCTCTTTCGTGATTAAATATCCTGTTTCTCATTATTCACCACAAATATTGAAAATCTCCATTGAAGATTTTCCAATGGCATAATTCCCTCCATATTTATTAGTTGACATCCTTGCACAGTGTTTTTTTTCCCCCTCCTCCAGTTTTTAAGTTCAGGGATTACATGTGTGTGCAGGATGTGCAGGTTTGTTACATAGATAAATGTGCTCGTACGTAGTTTTGTAATCTTTTTTTATTTTATGTAAAAAACCTCTGTTTGAAATTTTTGTTTTTAAAGAATTTATACTTATATTTTTGAGTTTAAATTCAGCCTGTCTCAGAAGAAAATTAACTTACACAATTTCTTTCCTATTGTTGAATAGTTAAGTGGTTTCCAAAATATGTGTGGCAATAACACTTTGAACAGCCTTGTATCTGATTATTTCCCTAGAATAAATTCTGAAGGAATTACTGTGTAAAAGAGTTTCAACATTGTTACGGCTTTATATGTGTATGACATTTTGTGAAATTACTCTTCAGTTTATACTGAGTTACAATTCAAATTGTAATGAATTTTAGAGGTAGTGTAGCAACTTGTTGATGCATTCTTACACCTTTGATTCTCAAGTTCTTAGACCTTTGATTAAATGCTTTCTAAAACATTTCGAATAGTATGACCGAAGCACAAATACACATGTAGGCATCTCTGAAAGCTGTGATTCTGTGTATTCAAATTATTGGAAAGAGAACTAAACAGTCTTGGACAATTTTTCTATTGTTTTAAAATCCATAGGATACATCAGTTAACTATCCTTTCAAACTCAGTAATAATAATACATCCTGAATTTAACCCCTCAAAACAAAAAAACTACATTAATTTAGGCTTTAGGTAGAATATAAGTGGAAAAACTCTATGCCAAAGAATAATCTGAAAAGTGTTTCATGTGGGTGACAATAATCTTATTTCCAGTTGCACAGCAAAAATTGGCCTTGTTTACTGAGTTTTCCTTACTGCTCAACAGATAGGCTCATATTTTGTAATTCCAGATAAACTAAACAGGTTTGTCAGTTACTAATAGCAACAATATTTCATGCATATATAGTAAACTTTAATGTGACATTGTTCTCCAGACACAGTTGCAGGTTACGTTTTGTTAGAAATCATTGTATAGGACACTTCAAATTACAGATGAAACACCAAGTCTTCCTTGATCTGCTTAGATAGGTTTGCCCAATTGAGAAAATCTTGATCTCGGCAGGTATTTATAGAAAAGCTTTTGGAGGGCCGGGGCATGGTGGCTCATGCCTGTAATCCCAGCACTTTGGGAGGCCGAGGCGGGTGGATCACGAGGTCAAGAGATCGAGACCATCCTGGTCAACATGGTGAAACCCTGTCTCTACTGAAAATACAAAAAATTAGCTGGGCATGGTGGTGCGTGCCTGTAATCCCAGCTACTCAGGAGGCTGAGGCAGGAGAATTGCCTGAACCCAGGAGGCGGAGGTTGCGGTGAGCCGAGATTGCGCCATTGCACTCCAGCCTGGGTAACAAGAGTGAAACTCCGACTCAAAAAAAAAGCTTTTGGAGCAGTTAAGTTCACATGTATGATGGGAAGAGTTGCCACCACCATCTTCAGCTTTCCAGCTTTGAAATTTTGCTCCTCCCTCCCTACCAGCCTCTGCTTTACTATGACTGAAGGTCCCAGGTCAGGGATGCAAAGTGGTACATAGATGCAGGTTGTGCTGTGGCACAGGTGGCTCATATAAGGACCAAGTGGGTGAACCAATGTTCCCATGTTTAATAATTTAGTAGAGACAGGGTTTCCTCATGTTGCCCAGGGCGTGTGTGTGTGTGTAGTTTTTTCCTTTTCATGTTAAGAGAGTATGATTTAATATGCACATCTTATTTAGCAGTCCTCTGAATATCTGAGTGACTTTGTTTTTTCCATGTTTGCTAATTGGCATCTATTCATGTGCAGTGTAGCAATAGTGAAGTGTCACTATTCAAGCAGTGACTTATTTGGGCATGGATATGAGTTTGTTTTGGCAATTACGAGGAGATGTCTCATTTTTCAAACACTAAACACATGTAACATTTGGTTACTGGAAAGTTAATGGTGCAGACAACAAATATGCATAGCTCTACACTGTAGAGTTAACCAAATAACTATAAATTGATATTAAACTAATAATAGTTTACAGTTTAAAGGGAAGAATTAGTAGAAAAGTCATCTATTTTAGGTTATACTCATAATAAACTTAGAGCATCCTTTCTGAAATCTCTGGTGGTTTGATTAGGTACTTGTGGCCGTAGGCTTTTTTATACGTATGCTTGAGACTTGGCAGCATTGCCAAGTTTTCCATGGTGCTTAGTCATCTTAGCAGTGAGCTGAAGTAGCGCCCTCCTTAAAATCTAGAAAAGCGTTCATTTTAGTTCATGAATACCAAACTTTGTTAATCTTTAATCATTTACTTTGTAGCTTATTATCCTTTTTTTTTTTGAGATGGAGTCTTGCTCTGTTGCCAGGCAGGAGTGCAGTGGCGCAATCTTGGCTCACTGTAACCTCTGCCTCCCAGGTTCAAGCAATTCTCCTGCCTCAGCCTCCCAAGTAGCTGGGACTACAGGTGCGTGCCACCATGCCCAGCTAATTTTTGTTTTTTTTTTTTTTTTTTTTTTTTTTTTTTTTTTTTTTTTTTAGTAGAGAACGTGTTTCACCATGCTGGCCAGGCTGGTTTCGAGCTCCAATCTCAAGTGATCTGCTCACTTCAGCCTCCCAAAGTATTGGGATTACAGGTGTGAGCCACTGTGCCCATCTAAAATTCTTTATAAGAAATAAAAGAAGCCTTCACTTTGGTTTGGGTTGTTAGCCTTCGTTTGAGCACTTGGAGAACTAATGCTTACAAGAACTTTGAAGACTTTTTTCTAGGCTAGTTGTATCTAAAATGAATTTTATTTTTTTGGGAATAGTGATTGATGGATATCCTTAATGAAACATCTGTTTTTATTTTGTTTTAAAGAGTCTTGCTCTGTAACCTAGGCTGGAGTGCAGAGGAGTACAGTGGCACTATCTTGACTCACTGCAATCTCTATCTCCCAGGTTCAAGTGATTCTCATGTCTCAGCCTCCTGAGTAGCTGTGACTACAGATACGCACCACCATGCCTGGTCAATTTTTTGTATCTTTAGTAGAGACAGGGTTTCACCATGTTGCCCAGGGTGGTCTTGAACTCCTGTGCTCAGGCAGTCCGCCTGCCTTGGCCTCATAAAGTTCTGGGATTACTGGTGTGAGCCACCATGTCCGGCTGAAACATTTGTTTTAAATTATTTTTTTTCCCCAGGAGGTGTATGTTGTCACAGGTTATCCACGTTAAAAAGTTTATATAGCAGTTCACTTGCATGGAATTGGTCCTAACTTTTTTCCCTTTGGGTTTCCTAGATTGAAGGACAAGGACATGGAGCTGTGTTTGACTGTAAGTTTTCACAGGATGGACAGCATTTTGCTTGTACAGATTCTCATGGACACCTTCTGATATTTGGTTTTGGATGCAGCAAACCATATGAAAAGGTCATTTTTAACACTTTGTTTGAGCATGCAAGTAGTAGTTAAGAGCTGTGTTTTGGAAATAGTTTAGCTATTGGATTTTATTGTTTTTCTAGTTTTAATTATTTAATATTTGTTTCCTTTAATATGTATAAACCTCAGAATGTCATCCTGTGAACTTCATTTTTCTAGATTCCTGATCAGATGTTCTTCCATACTGACTATCGACCACTTATTAGAGATTCTAATAATTATGTCTTAGATGAGCAAACTCAGCAGGCTCCTCATCTTATGCCTCCACCATTCTTGGTAGATGTAGATGGAAATCCTCATCCAACTAAGTATCAGAGATTAGTACCAGGCCGAGAAAATTGTGCAGATGAACATTTGGTTCCACAGCTGGGCTATGTGGCAACAAGTAAGTACAGTCTTTTTTGTTTTTTTTAAAAAACGTTTTACTCAAATACTTTAAAGTATAGTATAATTTTCTTACCTTTAGATTCCCCCAATTATTGATATTTTACAGTATTTGTTTTCCTCTGTATATTGTTTTGAATCATTTAAGTTCTGAAACTCATGCATCATTTACCCTTAAATAAGAACGATATCTGTTACATAACCATAGACACTTATGACAATTAGGACATTTTACACTGAAATAATACTATTATCAAATCTATAGTGTGTAACCAAAAATTTCCAGTTATTCTCATAATGTCTGCTATAGCTTTTAAAGTTCTTCCAATTTTTAATTGGGACCACATATGAAGTACAAAATTTAGTTGTATTTCCATAATTTCCTTTAATCTGGAGCAGGTTGTTAGTTTTTGACTTTCATGACATTGGTGTATTTGCAGATTATAGGTCAGGAATTTTGTAGAAGGCCTCCATCTGGGTTTGTCTTCTTCTTCTTGTTTAGGTTCCAGTTATGCATTTTTGACAGAATACAACATAAATGATGTTCCAGTCTTAATAGAGCATCTTGTCAGGATACTTATGATTTTAGTTTGTCTAATTGCTGGTAATAATGTTTTTGAACACTTGGTTAATGTGGTGTTTGCCAAGTTTCTTCACTATAAACTTAGTATTTTTCTCTTTGTAATTAATAGTAATTTGTGGCAAGATATGTCAATACCCTATTGATTGACAGATTTTACCCTCAAGTTTGAGGATCCATTGATAAGTTTTGCCTGAATCATTTGTTACTGTGAATATTGCAAAGTGGTTATTTTCTAACTTCGTCATTATTCCATCATTGCATCATATGTATCATTGCATATGACTGTTTGTTGTTTACCCCTTTATTTATGTGGTTCATTAAGTTTTTGAATGGGCTTCTGGCTGATTAGTGAGTTATTATATGTTACTCACATAATCCTTCGGTTTGACTCTCAGAGCCTTTTGAAGCTGTCCTTTCCCAAGTCCTTATACTTTTTAGTCACTTCTTTCTGTTTTTGAATGTAGGATTTTTAGGTTTGTCTTGGACTTTCTCTGTCCTAGCCAAGTGCAAAATTCTTTTTTGTTTGTGTTAATAGTAGGACAGTGTTTCTCTTTACAGATATGAAAGAGAAATAGTGTTTTGTTTGGATGAAGATTTACTGAAACTAAATCACCAACTATATATAAGGGTAAAGCCTAATGTAGATTACTGTATGCTTTCTCTCTCTCTCTCTCTCTCTCT